GAATTGTGTATTAATGATGAAGATATTTCAGCTAAAATGTATAAATTTTTACTGACAGAAGAAAAGCAAGTGAAAGAATATACAGTTAGTTCTCAACTTACAGGTAGTTCGTTTAGTGACCGTTCAGTTACAACACCACTGAAAAAAGTGACATGACTGTTTTTCCACACTTATGACCATTGCAGCATCCCTATGGTCACATGCAGGGGTGAACTGCTCTGAAGTCTGCTACCGGTTCGCTTCGCTACTGGTTCACTTCGCGCACATGCGCACTGCAGGTGCTACCATGCAGCGCTGAAGAAGGAGGATTAAGAAGCCTTTTCTGAGTCTGCAAAGATAAGTAGAACAGCTGGGGGGGAAACAGCTGTGCCACGCGATTTAGATTCATTAGAAAACAGGATTTCCTGCTTTCTAGCGAATTTAAATCGTGCGGCACAGCTGATTGTTGGAAATACCGGTTCGCCTGAACTGGTAGCATTTTTTTTACTACCGGTTCATGCAAACCAATAGCATTTCACCCCTGGTCACATGATCAAAATTGAGACGTTTGGCAACTGACTCATATTTATGACAGTTGCAGTGTCACATGATCCCCTTTTGTGACCTTCTGACAAAGTCAATGAGGAAGCCGGATTCACTTAACAACCGTGTTACTAACTTATCAACTGCAGTGACTCACTTAGCAACAAAGGTTGTAAAATGGGGCAAAACTAACTTAAATGTCTCACTTAGCAACAGAAATTTTGGGCTCAATTGTAGTCGTAAGTCAAGGACTACCTGTATGATAAAATGTGCTAAAATCTTTGGCTATAATATACAAATAGACTAATGGGAAAATGTGTGATTGAAGGGCTTGACATTTTCATTATGTTCTAGCCTTAAAGGGAATTTTTATAAAATGATGTATTGTTGACATTTGTGGTCAGAGAAATAGTCTAGAATGTACAAAAGTATTTTGAATCTTCGTTGGAAATGTGAACATGAAAAAAAAAGCAACATTTTGGATACAAATACATGCATCAATTTAAAAAAAATTAAAGGTTAAATAAAGTACTACTGAAACCAGAAACTTTGGGTCTCTGACAAGCCACTAGAAAAAAGTCACAGGACTTTGTTTTTAAAATGATGATTGCAGTGAGACTATGACATGTTTAAAAGTGACAAGACTCGACGCAACCTTCAACAGTTGGTGAAGATGATGGAATTTGCTGAGATGGCTAAATTACTGGTTTGATTACAAAAAAAACCCCCAAAACAATATCTACACTTCTGATTGCCTGGAAATCCCTTATAGACTTTTTGCACGAAACAGAAAAAAAAAAGCCCGACTTGTGATTTTGAAGGGGGAAAAAAAGAATAATAGAAAAAAGGAAGGGTTTGTCATCATAAATTTTGTGCTCCTACTTATATTTGCTGCAAAGGAAATTGGAAGCTTCTTGCTATTTGTTTTACAAACCTACAATCCTTCCTTCCTCCCTCCCTCCCTCCCATGGTTTTTATATCTTTTGTAAACTTTCAATTAAAAAAATATACAAAAAATGTATTCCAACCTTGCCACGTCTGCCAAGAGTTTCCCAGCAACCTGTTTCAGAGTGATTCTCTCCATTAGGGAGAATTGAGCTTGGAGGACCATCTACAGGGCTGTGGTGAGGAATTTTCATTCTGCAGATAGTCCTTGATTTAAGACCATTTGTTTAATAACTGTTCAAAGTTACGTACTTGTACTTATGACTGTTGTATCACCCTTGAAGTCAATTTGGGCACCTGGCAAACAGTCGCATTCACGACCAATTCCAGCGTCCTGCAATCATGTGATTGAGATTTGCAACCTTTTTTTTTTTTTTTGCCAATTTTTACCGAAAAATAGCATTAGCACTTAGGCTTATACATCGCTTCACAGCCCTCTCTGAGCGGTTTACAAGAGTCGGCCATCTGGGTCCTCATTTTACCCACCTCGGAAGGATGGAAGGCTAGGTCAACCTTGAGCAGGACAGGATCGAACTGCTGGCAGTGGGAATGAAGGATCAACCAGCAATACTACATTCTAAACCCCTGTGCCACCATGGCAGAAAATGCCTTGGGGAAAGCTGGATTTGCTTAACAACTGCTATAAAAATTGTCATAAAATTGGGTGCAGCTCACCATGACCTCCGATGAAAAATCTGGTTTGAATTGTGGTCGTAAATCAAGGACTACTGTTTGGTGGATAAGGTTGCTCAAATACGCTTGGAGGTGGGCTGTGGCTGGGAGGTCCAAGTGAGTTTCCTGAGGCTTGTGAGGTTATCTGGATGAGTTCAGTCCTGTGACTCCTGAGGATGTGGACAAAATCCTCCAAAATATGAGTCCACCCACCTGTCTAGCGACCAGGGCTTGGGTCCATGCAGTGATATCAGCACAGGGAGTCAAGCTGTTCTCCAAAGCACCTGAGGGTAGAACAAGAAGCAATGGGTGGAAACTAATCAAGGAGAGAAGCAACCTAGAACTAAGGAGAAATTTCCTGACAGTGAGAACAATGAATCAGTGGAACAACTTGCCTCCAGAAGTTGTGACTGCTCCAACACTGGAAGTTTTTAAGAAGATGTTGGATAACCATTTGTCTGAAGTGGTGTAGGCTTTCCTGCCTAAGCAGGGGGATGGACTAGAAGACCTCCAAGGTCCCCTCCAACTCTGTTATTCTATTCTATTTGAAGGAAGGAACACTGTTCTTTCTGCCTTTGAAGAGAAAGTAGTGTGCCTCTTCCTCAAGAGAAGTTTTGTGTTTGCATTTTAATTTTTTAAAAATACAATAAAAATAGAATAAGAAAAAAAGAGGCTATTGCTAGACAATCTACCCCTCCACCCCAATTCTGAATAAGTATTGGCCAGTTTCCAAACTTCCCTTTTTGGGAAAGGTGGTGGAGAAGATGGTTGGCTAGAAGTTGCAGAGGATCTTGGAGGAAAGGGATTGTCTAGATCTGTTACTGTTAAATAGATTTATAGAGGTTGAGTTCGTTAATGATGCTTGGTGGAACTGGGATGGCGCATTCATCCTCGTGCTCTTTCCTCTCTCTGGTTTTCAATACCATGGACCATGGGATCCTCATGGACTGGATAGGGGGGTTGGAGAGGGAGGCTCTGCGTTGTAGTGTTTTGCCTCCTTCCTCAATGATCAGTCTCGGTCTCCTCTCAATTGGCAGGAGAAGACAGACCATTCCCATGGCCCCTCACTTTATAGGGTGCCTCAGGGTTCCATGCTTTCTTCCCCTTTGTTTAACATCTAATGGAACTGCTGGATGAGGCAATCTGTCAGTATGATAATGATACCCAGTTGTACATTACAACCCTGAATTGGGCGAGACTGTTGATGTACTAATATCTGGAGGCTGGTTGGGTCTGGATGGGGCAGAAGTGCCATGGATCCACCCCTGGACCCCTCTCCAGATGCAGGTTCAGAGGAGGAGGGTGAGTTTGAGTCAGCAGAGGAAAGTGAGGAGCCAACTGTTGGTCAGGATTGGGGTTTGGAGAGTGCTAGCCTGAGGCCATTGGACGAGTGGCAGGCTGAGGCTGAGGGAGATGAGCAGCAGCTGCAGCAAACTGGCTAGGAGACTCCAGGTAAGGAGCAGGAGCAGCTGCCACCCATTAGCAATGAAGAGGAGGTGGTGTCCACACCTCATCCTGATCCAAGGACAGGTAGAGAAGAGAGGAGACAGGCACAAAGCTGGTCAGCTAGACTACTCGTGAGGAGGCAACCTCGCCTCTCATGAAGGGCTGCACTGTCGTTGCCTACTTAAGGACTTGAGCATTCCTGGAGCAACGTGCTCAGTTCTGTGCCTTGTGTGCTCATGCCACATGTCCTGACCCATTTGACTCATGGATTGCTTTCCTGGACTTCGTGTGTGCCCGTTGGACTTGGTTACCCAGTGACTCTTGCCATGCTGAGCTCAGAGTCCAGACCTGTGCAATGGGCGTGCTTTCAGAGGATCTGTTTGCAGGGCTTGAATAAACACCTCTAGACTTTTGCTGTATGTACGTGTGTGGGGGAGGTGAGCGGGGCAGCACAAGAACAATGTTTGGGCCAATCCTGAGAAGACTGAGTGGCAGTGGCTATTTTGCCCTCTGGGCTGGGGACATCTCCACGGCTGGCCTTGGGTGGGGTTGCCCTTCTCCACTCAAACTACTGTAATGCACTACCTGAAGGTCCTATAGGATTCTAAAATCCTACTTGGAGGGCAACTGTGGGCAGGCAGGTATTTGTACAGGTTCATATTGTGTAATCATCGGGCCAGTTCTTTGACCAGGAAGCCCTTCAGATGGTCACTCAGGCCCTGATCACCTCAAGGTTGGACTACAGCAATATGGTCTATGTGGGGCTGGCTTTCAAAACCATCCAGAAGCTGCAGCTGGTACAAAATTCGGCGTTATGAATCCCTCCAGCTACATGAGCTGCAGATCTTGCCAGTTGGCCTCTGGGTGCCATTCAAGTTATTATCACCTATAAAGATTTTCATGGCCTAGAGCCCACTTGGTTGAGGGACTGCCTGTCTCCAATTGTTTCAGCTTACTTGGCATATCTGGCCTCCACTCAGTGCTGCCATCTTGTCCTCTGAAGCATTTCTTCATCAGCCCCCCCCCCCCCGAAAGCCCCCCCCCCCCCGCAAGATATTGCCTGGATGATATCCATCTCTTAGGCTTTTGGAGAACCTTTAAGACCTGGCTCTGTTCCCAGGCTTGGGCTTAATGTGCTTGTTATATATTTGTCGTATTTTTGTGTTGCTTTATAGCTGTTTTGGTCAGGGCTGTCCCTTTCTGTGGGTTCTAACTGTTTTACTGTTTGGGAGTTTTGCAAGCCTTCCAGAGTTTTCACCACAAATATAATGATTAAATTAAATTAAAATGTGCCTAACCATTATGGTGCCAAAGTGATGAAGTGCGCCCTGTGATGTGTTAATGCAAATACCGTCCCTCTGAATTTGTTTTGTGATGTTCCAGGCAAAACAGAAAGGGTGAAGCTGGGATTGTGACACTGTGAGACATACTTTATCAGACTTCCCAACCCTGCCAACCTCACAGAGACACCCATGGGAAAACTGGAGATTGCTGGGAATATGAAAGACAGAACAACTAATTTAAGCTTCTGGTGTAATGAAGCTCATTCACGGAGCTTATGTATTAGTATAAATGTCTGTTCCACAAAATTGCATAGGAGGAGCCCCACAAGGCTGCAACCAACAGCTCACCTCCACTTAATAAAGGTCTTCAAAAGGCTTCGAGTAATTAAACATTAAATAATCCATGTAATAGAAATCATAACTACGCTGCCTTTGAGAAGGAGAAAGCTGTGTAAAATATTGTTGCGTGATCTGAGTGGTTGTCCTCTCTTCATTGGAATGTCTATCTTTAAACCTAGGAAAAGTCAAGTTTTGGGGAGCATTTATCAAATGGAGGAAAAAGTTAGCATCTTCTTCCATTGTTTCAAATTTCCCAATGAAGTCATAGTCTACTAAGCAAGGACTACAGAGCCTGTTGATGTGATCCCAGTGGATGTCCATGCCGACCGGCCGATGCACATCGAGAAGATACTGAATGAACTCTTTGAACTCTACCCCAGAGCCTGTCCTCAGAGCCTCCTTGGTGGCATTGGGGCGATACTTTGAAATAATGGGCCTGCCGAAGACGGGATGGTAATAATTGTTTGGATGCTCAAACTTGTCTCGAAATGCCGACACTAACTTCTCAAAAGGTTCGCGAACAAAGAGCATCTTAGTGTAAGTACTGAGCCTGTAGTTAATCCCTTTGTGATCAAAACCATCCAGCTTCTTCAAATAATTCCCATAATGGACAGTATTGTGCTGAATAACCCTGGTTGAGGAGGCCAGTCCATTGAGAACCATGAGTACTCTCTTCCAGTTGGAGCAGCCGGCTTTAGGGACTTCACAATATAAAATTCGATATTTATCTTCAACAAATATCCTGGACACATGATAAGGGGTGATTACTCTTTTGTTGTTGCTCTTGTACTTGGAGCACGTCTCTCTCATGATGCGTTTTCTCTCTCTTTGGACCTCATAGAGGTTTCTCCACCTCAGCTCGTCCTTCGCCTCAGCTTTCAGGACGGGCAGGCTGAGGAAGGAGCCATTAACTGCAATCCGGAGGGGGCTGCTTTTCAGGACAAATTTCCTCCTTCGTTGATAGGCCCTGGCAGAATTAGCAGCTGAACTTTTCCGTTGTCGGTCTCGAATCCCCGCTAAGGCCTTCCGGGCTTGGCCTGAGCTTCGGTGCTTCACAGACTCATCTTGCAGTAATGAGGCCCTCTGGTTTCCCACCGGAAAGGTAGCGCCTCCATTTGCCTGTGTTTTCCCGCCCTGATCATTGCTTGACGCGCCTTCCTAATGGAAGAAGAGAACCAAGGCATTACTCAATGAAGGCAGCATTCATCACAGCTGGCAGAGTTTAATGATGCCAGTCATATCTACCGTTTTAGCTCAGCCAAACTTTGGCACGCCGTGCACTGCTTTACACACCACACTGAGGCTGAGGTGATGGTTTTTTTACTTCCTACTTTTGAATGTGTCGCTATTAATCTGAACATCAATTCTAGAGCTAAACCTGAGAAGGAAACCACCAAGGAAGCAGGATTCATATTTTCAAAGCTTAGTGTCTATGAAGATTCTCAGTCATCCAGGTCAAAAGTGGTTTTTATTTTTGAAAAGAGGCAATTTATGTTAACAATGAGCAGCCCTCTCCCAACAGAGGGGGAGGGATAAGACCACCATCTACCCCCAATTTACAATGCAGCCCTTTTGGCTGTTCCAAGAAGATCCCACACCTGAGTCAGGTGACCCTGAGGGCACAGATAAAGCCCCAAGTAACTACAATGGCTCCCAGAGAGCATTAAGACCAGTTGACTGAAAACACAATTTTCCCATCCCCCCCATCCTGTCAGAACCTATCATTCCCCCTCCCATCAACTAATCTCAATGCACAAATGGAGCTCTGTGTGCGAGCGCAAGTGCCCTCCACTCTCACGAGTGGAGCGTTGCACGTGAGTGCAAGCACCTACACTTTCATGAGTGGCGCTTCAAGCATGCGTGCACGTGCTTGCTAGCCACTCATGCAAGTGGAACTTCAAGCATGGCAATCTCTCCTGCAGCCAGGTTTTGAATAGGCTGCAGCCTGTTAGTTGGGGGCCCCTCCCACAGTTCAGAGGATGGGAACCCCTGAGCTAGGCTACTCACGAGGAAGCAACCTGGCCTCTCATGAAGGGCTGCGCTGGGGTCACCTACTTAATCCCGCCTTGAGGACTTGAGTGTTGCTGGAGCAACCTGTCCATTTTTGTGCCTTGTGTGCTTGTGCTGTGTATCCTGATCTGTTTAACTCCTGGACTGCTTTCCTGGACTTCCTGCATCCCTCTTTGGACTCAGTTACCCAGTGACTCTTGCTGTGCTCAGCTTGGAATCTGAACCTGTGCAATGGGGCTGCTCTCGGAGGACCTTTTTTTGGGGGGGGGGGAGGTTTGTATACACCTGTATAACTCCTACTGTATGAGAGTGTGTGTGTCTGTGTGTGTGTGAGTGAGTGAGTGAGGGGAGTGGGGCAGCACAAAGTGTGAGGAGAAGAACTGGCAGGGACATCTAGAGGGGAATGGGACAACTTGCCACAGCCAACTCATCACAGTCAACTTGTTACGGGTCAATATAACAATTCTATTTATTTAAAATAAATAAAAAATATTAAAATTTTTGCCATCCACATTTTATTCTGTCACTTCTTTTTGCATCCTTTCTTTAATGATTCTATTCCACCATTTCTTTGATGTTAGCGGACCATTTCTTGTCCCGCAGCAAGTCAAGATTGTGTGATTGAACGACTAGCCCTTTTCTACATGTAATGCACAGATTATTTGATTGTACGGCCAGAGTTGCCAGCTTGATTTTTTTTCATTCCTCCCTCCTCTCTCCCCCAGGACAGCCCCAGAACATCTGTACTTGTCCTGGACAGTCTTGTCAAAACTCTGTCCGGTCTCTGTTAATTAAAGAATGGTTGTGTTTGCACAACACATTGGACCAGCCTCAAATGGGATAATTTGTAGGTGAGTATGTTGTGAGAAACAAGCAATCAACTTTGCACATTTTGCAATTGAGATAATCACATCAAGTTGTCACAAGAGTCTTTTGCTTGGGTATGATGTTCTTGTTGGTTATTTGGGTTTACTGTACAATTAGTGTCACAAGCAGTGAGTCAAGCGACTCACTATTGAACAAAAAAGATTTATTGAGCTATTGGATTGACATGGCTGCATAATTCACAAAAATGCAACTCTGCGGCATGCAGCAACAAAAACCGAGTATAACAATTTCCATTTCCTTCAGACATAGGGTTGAATTATGGTATGTCAAGTTTGTTTCTGAATTTCTCAGTTGTGTGAATAATGCAAACTACTATAATATGTGCCAACTTGAGGATGCTTTTAGGAGTAAAATGTGTCTATATTTTGACGCTGATTTCTCCAGCCATATTCATTTTTCCTTGCAATTTAAAATTTAACAAGGTTTCTGGAATACACATACATTTCTGTTCATAATTTTCACAAGTTTGCTTATGTATGCTTATACATATATCTACACTTGGAATATACATCCAATTTTGGTCACCACAAAATAAAAAAGATGTTGAGACTCTGGAAAATGTGCAGAGAAGAGCAACCAAGATGATTAGAGGGCTGGAGGCTGAAACCTATGAAGAATGGCTGCAGGAATTGGGTATGTCTAGTCTAGTGAAAAGAAGGCCCACGGGAGACATGATAGCAGCGTTCCAGTATTTGGGGGACTGCCACAAAGAAGAGTAGGGTCAACCTATTTCCCAAAGCACCAGAAGGCAGGACAAGAAACAATGGATGGAAACTAACCAAGGAGAGAAGCAACCTAGAGCTAAGGAGAAATTTCCTAATGGTGAGGACAATTAACCAGTGGAACGGCTTGTCTCCAGAACTTGTGGGTGCTTCATCATTGGAGGTTTTTAAGAAGAGACTGGACAGCCACTTGTCTAAAATGGTATAGGATCTCCAGCTCAAGCAGGGGGTTGGATTAGAAGACCTCCAAGGTCCCTTCCAACTCTGTTATTCAATTTGATATGTATACCTGTCTGTCTCTGATACAGTGATGGATCTAACCCAATAATTCGTGAGACAGAGTAATGTCTTCAAGGAATTCTTTTATTGCAGGCCTGGATTGTTCCTAGGCCCATTCCTCTAACAGTAACTGACCTTTTGTCCTTCTCTTGCAGATACACATCTGGAACTACTGGATGGTCTCGTGGTGGGACCTCTTATACCCAGGGGGAGGAGTCGGAGGTAAGGTGGAGTGATGGGATATGTGGTTGTGTTAACCCTTGCAGGACTATGAGGGGATGTGATATGAATGGGTTAGACATTTAACCTGACAGTCTCTCTGTCTGGTTATCTAACTTTTAATGAATTGCATTGCAAAATTCTGAAAAAAAAATGCAAAATTGGATTGCTAGCTGATTAGAACAATTGATGGCAGCCTGTGGCACTTCATATTTACCAGGCTTGCATTTCTGATGTGCATCTCCCTGCTGCCCCTGGCAATTCCCCTCACCCCAGCAAATACCGGCAGTGGGGTGGTGGCTCAGCTCTCCCTTGCAATTATGTCAATAAGAGGGGGGAGGAGGGGCTTTGGATTATTCCAGCTGATTCCCAAAGGCAGGCCTTGATTTCCCTGCCCCTCTTCAGCAGAGCCCTTGTTGACTGCAAAGCGACAGCAGGGGGAGCCTTATCCCCAACTTCTTTTCCATTCAGAATGAATTGGGCCATCGGGAGGAGTTTCTGATTAGCCAGGCTGGGTGCAAAACATGGTTATGTGGAATATTTCTTGTGCATTCGGTTTATTCAGCCTAGGCAACTTCAAAAAAGAAAAAAAAGAAAAAAGGTGTATTTCAAAAAGTGCATTTGGTTTATTAGATCATTTATTGATCTAATAAATCGAGAGGTGGCAATGAGGGAATTTACATTCAAGGAAACCTCCTTCTCTCTTCAGGCTGTCTTCCTTCCACTCAGCCTTCCCCACGGATTTCAGAAAGGAAAGGATAGGATAGGATAGGAAAGGAGAAAGGAGAAAGGAGAAAGGAGAAAGGAAAGGAAAGGAAAGGAAAGGAAAGGAGAAAGGAGAAAGGAAAGGAAAGGAAAGGAAAGGAAAGGAAAGGAGAAAGGAGAAAGGAAAGGAAAGGAAAGGAAAGGAAAGGAAAGGAGAAAGGAGAAGGAGAAAGGAGAAAGGAGAAAGGAAAGGAAAGAAAGGAAAGGAAAGGAAAGGAAAGGAAAGGAGAAAGGAGAAAGGAGAAAGGAGAAAGGAGAAAGGAGAAAGGAGAAAGGAGAAAGGAGAAAGGAAAGGATAGGAAAGGAAAGGAGAAAGGAGAAAGGAGAAAGGAAGGAAAGGAAAGGAAAGGAGAGGAGAGGAGAGGAGAGGAGAGGAGAGGAGAGGAGAGGAGAGGAGAGGAGAGGAGAGGAAAGGAAAGGAAAGAAAAAGAAGGCAAGGCAAGGCAAAGGCAGCTTACTCTTTTAGCTTCCTGAGATCCCTGGCCGTATCTCATTCCTAAAGAAAGAAAAGAGAAAGGGTGGTCACAAGTGGGATCGGCATAAAATGTTGCATTCACTTTCCTGGTTGATCCAGTGTGCTGCTTTCCATTACAGGCAGTCCTCCACTTACAACCATTCAAAGTTACAACAGCACTGAAAAAAGTGACTCGTGACCGTTTTTCACACTTACGACTGTTGCAGCATTCCCAGGGTCGTCACGTGATCAAAATTTAGGTTTTTGGCAACTGGCTCATATTTATGACCGTTGCAGTGTCCCACTGGGTCACATGATCCCCTTTAGTGACCTCCTGACAAGCAAAGTCAGTGGGGAAGGCAAATTCACTTAACAACGGTGCTACTAACTTACCAACTGCAGTGGTTCATTCAAGGACTGTGTTACCAACTTAGCAATTTCAGTGATTCCCTTAACAAATGTGGCAAGAAAGGTCACAGAATGGGGCAAAACTCACTTAATGAATACCTCAGTTAGCACAGTTGGGCTCAATTGTGGTCGTAGATCGAGGAGAAGCTCTATTAAGGGCTTTTCGCTGTCCCTCCCTTCATTTTGTATTTCCACCCACTTCAATCTTCTGGCCCTAACTCTCCCTCTACCCCCTGGGTTGGCTTCCAAAGGGATGGGGGGACATGCCAAGCCAAGAGGACGGGGGCAGAGAACAGAAAACAAATCCAGAAGGATACCAATCTGGAACCTCTTAGGGTTTATTTTTCTTGGGAATTACACTTTTAGGAAACAGGCAGTATAATCAGTTGCTTTCATAGGAGGCATCTGAGCTCCTTTCCTTCTTCGGAAACAGCCAACAGAACTGCCTTCTGACTCTTTTTTTCTAAAGCAAATGCCAACTTGCACCTGGTGCTTTACAGCAGTTCAATATTCACAGGAAATTCGTAATTGCAACACGCTCTACATGGGGCTGCCCTTGAAGAGCATCCGGAAGCGCCAGTTGGTGCAAAATGCAGTGGCCCGCATGGTTTTGTGTAGACTTGGTGTGCCCATGTATCGCCTCTCCTGCAGGAACTGCCTTGGTTGCTGATTTGCTTCCAGGTGCAATTCAAGATGCTGGTTGTCACCTTTAAAGCCCTTCATGGCTTGGGACCAGGTGATCTGAGGGACCCTCTCTTCCCGGTCACATCCACCCACCAGAGTGGGGAGGCAAGGAATGTGGTGGGTCCCATCCCCTAGAGAGATACACCTGGTGGGACCCAGAAGAAGGGCCTTCTCTGTGGTGTCTCCCTCTCTCTGGAACATTATTCCCACAGAGATTAGACTGGACCCCACTCTTAAAAGTCTTCCGGAAGGTGCTGAAGACCTGTTTCTGCCAGAGGGCCTGGGGAACCCAGAGCAGGACCCAGCCCATTAAATGGCTCGGGTGATGTGATGTTGCCGGGGTTATTATATTATTTGATTATTCTCTTTTATTAGTTTTATTTTTTATGTATGAGGTTTTTATATTCCTGTAACCCGCCTTGAGTTGCCATGAGTGAATAGGCAATATAAATTTCCTAAATAAATAAATAAATAATGATGCAATTGTCAATCTAGCTTATCGTTTAAATATGTTGTGTGAACTTCGCCAAAGCATCTCTGCTGCAGCCAGATGGATTCATCCCATCACCTCAGTGGTGAAATCCAAATTTTTTTACTACCGGTTCTGTGGGCGTGCTTGATGGGCGTGGTGTGGCTTGGTAGGCGTGGCAGGGGAAGGATACTGCAAAATCTCCATTCCCACCTCACTCCAGGGGAAGAATATTGCAAAATCCCCATTCCCTCCCCACTCCTGGGGGAAGGATACTGCAAAATCCCCATTCCCTCCCCACTCTGGGGCCAGCCAGTGGTGGCATTTGCCAGTTCTCCGAACTGCTCAAAATTTCCGCTACCAGTTCTCCAGAACCTGTCAGAACCTGCTGGATTTCACCCCTGCATCACGTCTTCAATGCGGCTGCAGGGGCTTCGTCTGTGCCTGTTTAAGGCTGAAGAGGGGACCATAGAGAACGTCTCTTCTGGATGTGCTTCCCAATTATGCTCCACACGTTGCCCAGGGGCTGCTTCATCCATTGGCCATATTCCCCCTCTCCCCACTCTCCAGGTAGTGATAGAAACACTAGGCCTTGCGACTCAAAAAAGAAGAAGAAGAACCGAAGCAGCAATTCAGTTGTATCAATTGATCTCACAATTTTAATGAATTGAAGAGAAGGGAGATGTGCAAAACTGCCCAAAGAATCAAAATCAATTTAGATGCATCTGATACAATTTGATGGTTCAGCTTGAGATCCTGATTCAATTCAGGAAGTCGATTCAATTTGGGGATTTGATCAAATGACTTTAAAATTGAATTGGCTTTTGGGAGAGCTCTAAAACAGGATTACTAATTCACCATTTATTGAGGTCCCTCATTGAAGACTTGTGAGGAAACTTAATAGTTGCAACGATGGAAGGCTTGTCCTTTATTTCTAGATTTCTTAATTCTTCAGGAAACAGAAAGCCAAGTGTAAGAATCAATGGGTGATTTTTTTCCAGTCAGAGGAAGTGAAAATGGTTTCCCTCTAGGATCTGTGTTGGATTTAGAGCTTTTTAAAAAAGTGTTTCAAATGTCTTGACTTGGGGATAAGGATGGAATTGGTCATACTTGCAGAGAGCACCAAATAGTTCATGGTGATGAAGCCCAAAGGTGATTCTATTCAACAACCTCTCAACAGATTATGAGCAGTCCGTAATTGAACAGGAATCTTGGGATCCATTCAGTGTGGGCACAGGCTAAAAATCCACCCTAAAGATTTTTTGGAAAGGGACTGGAAATGAAACTGCCAAACTGTAAATCCTTATACAAATCCATGGCATGTCTACATCTGGAATATTTTGTGACGTTCTTGTTGATAAAATACAGGTAGTCCTTGACTTATGACCACAATTGAGGCCAAAATTTCAGTTGCTAATTGAAACATTTAAGTGAATTTTGCTCCATTTTACGGCCTTTCTTGCCCCCCTTGCAGTTATTCAATTACTGACACAGTTAAGTGAATCTGGTTTCTCCATTAACTTCGCTTGTCGGAAGGCTGCAAAAAGGGATCACGTGACCCTGGGGCACTGCGACCGTCATAAATATGAGCCAGTTGCTAAGTCTGAATTTTGATCACATGACTCAGGGATGCTACAATGGTCATAACATGTGAAAAATGGTCTTTAGTCACTTTTTTCAATGCCGTCGTAACTTTGAATGGTCACTAAATGAACCGTTGTAAGTCGAGGACTTCCTGTAGATATGAGAAAAGTAGAGAAGCAGGCTACCAGATGAGTAAGGGCTCCAAAACCCTTGGAGTTCTTTTGCTTAAAAGGAGGTTGGAGCGAATAAAAACATGTGTTGCATAGAGAAAGTGAGACTGACCCAAGGATCAACCAATGAAGTTGCCCAGAAGGCAGTTTAAAATAAATTAAAGGGCACATAAATGACTGGTGGAATTAATTATGACAAGATAGGATAATGGCCACTAGCTTTAAAACAAGTGGTCTGAAAAGCATAAGGAGTTGAAGACTCCTGAGGGCAGGGAAGAGACCAGGTAACAGGTAGGTTTGGGGTTTGGGTCCATGATGGATTGGTGGATTTGGACCTATCTCATTGACCTCATGAATTGCTGAGATTAGGGTCAGATAGAGGAAACACTTATGACCCTCCGTATAAATTGAGAGGTATAACCTTTCAAAACAGGCTGCTCTTGGAAGAAAAACTCACCATTCTGTGTTCTTGGTTCTTGGTTCTGTTGTTTAATTCAACTGGCGCAGCATTTCCATTTAATTTTCTTTTAGGGCTACAGCCAGCAAAAATAGAAGTTGCTATTCCTGACCCTGGAAAAATCTGCCTGGACTTTGTCCATCTCCATTCACTCCCTTGTTGTAGAGACATTTATGCAAGCATAGAATTAGGCATCAAATTCGATGCTTGCATAAAGCTTCTACCTCAAGCAAGTGAATGGAGATAGACAAAGTCCAGGCAGATTTTTCCAGGGTCAGGAATAGCAAATTAGTGGACCAGAGGAATACTATGGATATAATTTACTTGGACTTCAATAAGGCATTTGATAAAGTAGACCACAACTTAGTACTTGATAAGATAGAAAAGTGTGGGTTAGACAGCATCACCACCGGATGGATTTGTAACTTGCTAACCAACCGCACTCAACGTGTAGTCCTCAATGGAACTGCATCTACATGGAGGGAAGTATGCAATGGGGTACCCCAAGGTTCTGTCTCAGGCCCAGTACTCTTCAACATCTTCATCAATGGTTTGCATGAGGGATCGATGGGGAACTCATCAACTTTGCAGATGACACTAAGCTGGCAGGAATAGCCAACACTCCAGAAGATGGGCTTAAGATACAGAAGGATCTCGACAGACTTGAACATTGGGCGTTATGTAACAAAATGAAATTCAGTGGTGAAAAAAGTAAGGTTCTACATTTAGACAAGAAAACCCAAATGCACAGGTATAGTATATGTGGTACCTGGCTCAACAGTAGTAATTGTGAGAGGGATCTTGGAGTCTTAGTACACAATCACTTAAATATGAGCCAGCCATGTGCTGCAGCGGCCAAAAGAGCCAACACAGTTTTAGGCTGCATTAATAGAAGGACAGAATCAAGATCACATGAAGTGTTAATACCACTTTATAATGCCTTGATAAGACCACACTTGGAATACTGCATCCAGTTTTGGTTGTTACGATGTAAAAAAGATGTTGAGACTCTAAAAAGAGTGCAGAGAAGATCAACAGAGATGATTAGGGGACTGGAGGCTAAAACATATAAAGAACGGTTGTTGGAATTGGGTATATTTAGTTTAATGAAAAGAAGGACTAGGTGTGACATAATAGCATAATAGGGCCTACCCCAAAGAAGAGGGGGGGGGGGTCAACCTATTTCCAAAAAGCCTGAAGGCTGGACAAGAAGCAATGAATGGAACCTAATCAAGAAGAGAAGCAATCTCGAACTAAAGAGAAAGTTAGA